TGTAGTGGGGGCCTTTTTTTTCCCTGGCACTAATATCTGTTGTTCATGTTCACCCATCAGTAAAGTGGGTACCTGGGTGTTAGTTGATTGGTGTGGGTCGTATCCTGGGACAAAAGTGACTTAATATGCCTGAAATGCTCTGCATAACAAAAGGCTTTCTGTGTAGTAGTATGTCATTGGTGTCACTTAGGCCTGTATACCTTGTACATGTACTTGTAGAAATAAAGATATTTTTTTTTTTATTAATACATCTGCCATTTCCCACCAAGGTAGGGTGGCCCGAAAAAGAAAAACTTTCACCATAATTCACTCCACTATCTTGCCAGAGGTGCACTTACACTACATTTATAAAACTACAACATTAACACCCCTCCTTCATACTGCAGGCACTGTACTTCCCATCTCCATTACTCAAGTCTGGCCTGCCGGTTTCCCGGAATCCCTTCATAAATATTACCCTGCTCACACTCCAACAGCATGTCAAGTCCTAAAAACCATTTGTCTCCATTTGCTCCTATCTAACACATGCATGCTTGCTGGAAGCCCAAGCCCCTTGCACACAAAACCTCCTTTACCCCCTCCCTCCAACCTTTCCTAGGTCGACATCTACCCTGCCTTCCCTCCACTAAAGATTTATACACTCTCGAAGTCATATTATTTTGTTCCCTCCTCTCTATATGTCTGAATCGCCTCAACAACCCCTCCTCAGCCCTCTGGATAATAGTTTTGGTAATCCTGCACCTCGTCCTAATTTCCAAACTATGAATTTTCTGCATTATATTCACACCACACATTGCCCTCAGACACATCTCCACTGCCTCCAGCCTTCTCCTTGTTGCAACATTCACCACCTATGCTTTGCACCCATATAAGAGAGTTGGTATAATTATACTCTCCAAGTAAAGATATTATTATTATTACTTATTACATATTATTATAAGTGACATTTCTTTAATGCACTTTGGAAAGCCTATGTCGAGGCAGAACATTTCTGGTATATTAGAATGGGCTGCCTAATAATACTGAGTTCAGTAACAGTATAAATTCATTTATGTCTAAAGATAAGAGTACCTTATTAATGAATCTGCAAAAGAGAAAAGAAAAAGTCAATCAGATTTTACAGTTCTGTATTAGTAGTAGTTACTGTGTAGCTGGAAACTTTGCTGGATCTAGTTTACATTTATAGTATATAGTATAGTAGTAACAATTGTTGTGTTGTAATTTTAACAATATGTAGATTTTGTATAACCCATAGTACTGCATTTTTATTTTGTAAATGTGTGTTTATGCATCTGTGTGTGCATACCAGTGTATAGTTGTGTTTAAACAAGATACTGTACAAAATAGATGAACCCCAACTGAAATCAATCATCTTTGGCTTTGTTGGATTTGCCTGAGTTGAATTTTCATTTACCACCAGATTATATCTATAATAATACAGTGTTTAATGCAGTCTTGCAATCCACCCTTTTTAGTAAATCAGTACAATTAATAAAACATTTTTTTTATCAGGACACTGACTTTAGTGACTTCTGGTCGACACTTCCCAAGGCAATAGTAATGGCTACCGGAGAGTTTGAGTACTCTGATCTAAGCCAACACTTCTCTCGCAGACTGATCTTCTTAACATCAGCTCTACTTGTTTTCCTCCTCTTTTTGTTCCTCATCTTCCTTGTCCTCATGAACGTTATGAATGGGCTGGCAGTCACAGATACTCAGGTATGCTCACTGTTCTGTGATTTATGAAATCTACGTTCTTATGTTATTATATTCATGAAGTGTGTAGAAGGCCCATTATGTGACATGAGCTTTCCTATGTATTAGGGTAATAATAATTTACATAAATGGCTTGCCATAAGGAATAAAACACAAAATGAATAGGTTAGTAGATGATACTAGGATCTCTACAAAATGACTCAAATAACATGACTAAAGGGAGTGATGGATAATGGAATTTAATTAAGATAGTCACCCTGCCTTGGTGGGATATGCTCAGTTATTTTTAAAATATAAGTTACCAAGTAATTGAAATGAGAGAAAGCGATACAAAGCCTCAAGAACAATATCAGTTTTGTAATGAAATGCTAAAAGCATGAGAGAGAGATATCTAGTAATTATCATGGGCAAGAAAAATTGTCACCAGATATCACAAAATTGTGAGAAATTCATTTACTAAACTACTAGTTATTTTGATAGTTTTATTTTGCACCCCATATCCATGTTGTTGGTGATAGTTAAAATAATTACTGAGGCACATAATGAATCTATGGACTGGGCCACATCATTTGATTAGCTAACATACACAACATACACTGACAAACTTTAAAATAGCCTATAGATATATGGATGAGGAAATAATAATAATAATATACAAATTCTCACACACCAAGCTATAAATGCAAGAACAGTGATAAAGATGAAATACTAAAGTCTATGATCAAGTGTGACAGTATGATCGTCAGATCATCAGCTCTAAGAAACAGGTGAGCTTTCAACTGAGACTTGAAAGCATGAACAGATTCCTGTCTGATAAGAAAGACACAGGCAATATGTTAAACAATCTAGGAGCTAGATAAAAGAAAGACTCTGTGAATGATTTCTCCCAACAACACTAGGCTCAATCAGCCTAGAAGGGTCTGTGGCAGTTCGCAGAAACATTATTGAGTCCAATGTAAAAGGTACTAGCTAATTGGCAAGATACTTACTAGCTTTAAGTGTTAATAAACTTAATGGTTTTAAATGTTAATAAATGTAATAGCTTTAATTCAGTTCTATAGATGTTGATATCCTTACTAAATACTCTATTAGGTTTTAATATTTATAACTACTCTATATGAAGTCATGTTTAATGTAGCAACTCAACAATGTGGCACAGTTCTAGGCATTGAAAAATATACATTTTAGTAACTTAATAATGATTTTCAGAAAGTGGTGGAAGACGCAACACTACATTCCCTCACTTCACGTTTAGAGCTGATCTACCTGATTGAGTCCTTGTTCCTCAGATGTCCTGGCCTTCACTCTCACATGGAAAAAGTTCAATTGCTCTCTGGAAATAAGTACAAGCCTGTTTTATATGCCCAGATGAATAAACACATCAAGAAACAGAGACTCATATCTGGGAAGGAGCAGTTCCGGAGCAAGCTTGATGATTATTCAGCAGAATGCCTTAGGTATCCTCAAATACATATATGTATAATTCAGTATACAGTGTCTTTAAGTTTAATATAATGTCAAACTGAATGTATATGTAGCACTTTGTTGCTGTCTTACTCTTCATGACGCTCCCAGTTTGCATACAGGCTATCTTTTTTGAATGCTTTACAGGTCAACCATCACTAATCCAGCATCATTGGGACCTGTAGTGTGCCGGATTAGTAATTTTGCTGGATCACAGAGTAGTTAGGTTAGAATACACTTACCCTAACAGCTAACCCCCCTCATCCTACCTTTAAAATACCCTGTAAATCAGTACAAGTTGGTTAATAAAGTTAACCAACTTGGCTTACACAAGAAAGTTCATCACTGCCACTTCCAAAGTGAAGAGGTGAAATTTACAACTTTTTTTTTTCAACAAGTTGGCTGACTCCCACCGAGGCAGGGCGACCCAAAAAGAAAGAAAATCCCCAAAAAGAAAATACTTTCATCATCATTCAACACTTTCACCTCACTCACATATAATCACTGTTTTTGCACAGGTGCCCAGAACACAACAGTTTAGAAGCATATACGTATAAAGATACACAACATATCCCTCTGAACTGCTAATATCCCGAACCCCTCCTTTAAAGTGCAGACATTGTACTTCCCATTTCCAGTACTCAAGTCCGGCTATATAAAAATAACCGGTTTCCCTGAATCCCTTCACTAAATATTACCCAGCTCACACTCCAACAGCTCGTCAGGCCCCAAATACCATTCGTCTCCATTCACTCCTATCTAACACGCTCACGCATGCTTGCTGGAAGTCCAAGCCCCTTGCCCACAAATCCTCCTTTACGCCCTCTGTCCAACCTTTTCGAGGACGACCCCTACCCCGCCTTCCTTCTCCTACAGATTTATATGCTCTCCATGTCATTCTACTTTGATCCATTCTCAACAACCCCTCTTCAGCCCTCTGACTAATACTTTTATTAACTCCACTTCTTCTCCTAATTTCCACACTCTGAATTTTCTGCATAATATTTACACCACACATTGCCTTTTGACAGGACATCTCCACTGCCTCCAACTGCCTACTCACTGCAGCATTTACAACCCAAGCTTCACACCCATATAAGAGTGTTGGTACCACTATACTTTCATACATTCCCTTCTTTGCCTTCATAGATAATGCTTTTTGTCTCCACATATACCTCAATGCACCACTCACCTTTTTTTCTTCATCAATTCTATGGTTAACCTCATCCTTCATAAATCCATCCGCTGACACATCAACTCCCAAATATCTGAAAGCATTCACTTCTTCCATACCCCTCCTCTCCAATTTGATATCCAATTTTTCTTTATCTAAATCATTTGATACCCTTATCACCTTACTCTTTTCTATGTTCACTTTCAACTTTCTACCTTTAAACTCGTCCACTAACCTTTGCAGCTTTTCTTTAGAATCTCCCATAAGCACAGTATCATCAGCCAAAAGTAACTGTGTCAATTCCCATTTTGTATTTGATTCCCCATAATTTAATCCCACCCCCTCTCTCGAACACCCAAGCATTTACTTCTTTTACAACCCCATCTATAAATATATTAAACAACCATGGTGACATTACACATCCCTGTCTAAGACCGACTTTTACCGAGAAGTAGTCTCCCTCTCTTCTGCACTCCCAAGAGGGCGGAGACCCAGGGGTCCCTACTCGGAACAAAAGTTGTTCCGAGTAGGGAAATTAGATCTAAGAAAAATGATCCCAAATGGATGAACAATAGATTAAAACATCTCATTGGTCAAAAGAGAGGCATATATAGGCATATCAAAAGAGGGGATGGGCAGTTAAGGAATCAATATATTCAACTAAAGAGAGAAATAAAGAAAGGAATAAGAAAAGAAAAAAGGGATTATGAGGCTAAGGTCGCAAGGGATTCAAAGACTAACCCAAAAGGGTTTTTTCAGGTATACAGAAGTAAGATTAGGGACAAGATTGGCCCACTTTAGAGTAACTCTGGTCAGATCACTGACAGTGATAAGGATATGTGTGAAATTCTAAATACCTACTTCCTCTCAGTTTTCACCCAGGAAAATACTAGCAATATTCCTGAAATAATAGATTATGTAGAACAGGATGATAATAAACTATGCACGATTGCAATAACTAGTGACATGGTCCTCAGGCAAATAGAGAAACTAAAAACTAACAAATCCCCAGGCCCTGATGAACTGTTTGCAAGGGTGTTAAAGGAATGTAAAGAGGAACTTAGCATACCTTTGGCTAATCTTTTTAACATATCACTACAAACTGGCATAGTGCCTGATAAGTGGAAAAATGGCAAATGTAATACCTATTTACAAGGCAGGTGACAGGTCCTTGGCTTCAAACTATAGACCAATAAGCCTTACCTCCATAGTGGGAAAATTTATGGAATCAATAATTGCCAAAGCAATTCGTTGCCATCTTGACAGGCACAGATTGATTAATGAATCTCAACATGGTTTTACAAAGGGGCATTCCTGTCTTACGAATTTACTAACTTTTTTCACTAAGGTGTTTGAGGAGGTAGATCACGGTAACAAATATGGTATTGTGTATATGGACTTCAGTAAGGCTTTTGATAGAGTTCCACACCAGAGGCTATTGAGGAAACTTAAGGCACACATATGCGAAACGTGCATCCTGGGCTTTATTCTGTTCTTTTCTTTCTTTTCGTACCTCTGCCAGTCAGGCATGGGGTTTCTTCCACTCCATGTTGGGATCACGTTCTGTAAGTACTTTTTCCCCTGCTGAAGGAAGGAGCGACTCCACTCTTACCCCAGGACAAGGCTGAGACATTTGCAAATTTCTTTGGTCCTATGTTTTCTCCTCCTCCTCCTCTACCCTCTAAGGTGATCAAATGGGGCCCTTTGCCACCTGCCGTACCCGAGGTTCACTGCCAGGTGCTGGCATCTCCCTTTAGCTCCCATGAATTGCAGCGGGCACTTTCCCAACTTTCTTCCTGCTCTTCTCCAGGGAAGGACAACTTACCCTATTCATTTGTACTACATCTACCTCCCTCCTGAAACAGAAGCTATGCTGGAGGTTTTCAATACCAGCTGGTATACAGTGTCTTCCCTGATATGTGGAAACACTCTCTTCTGATTCCAATTCTAAACCCGGGGAAAGGGATATACCCAACCGACCCCTTTAAACCGCCTATTGCTCAAACTGCCCTGCTTGGGTAAGGGCTGGAATGACTGGGCTACTCGTCTCTCCTGGTGGATTGAGAACATGGCCTCCTGCCTGATAACCAAAGTGGCTTCCGAAAGGTCGGTCCACCCTTGACCCTTTGTTTCAATTACACAGCTTGTCACACTTCATTTGAATCCCGGGAGTTCCTTTTGGCAGCTTTTTTTGGACCTACACAGAGCATTTGCCCTGCATCACACACAGCAATTTTTTTCAAGCTGGCCTGCATGGGACTAAACAGGAGCTCCCCTCTGCGGGAAATGCGCAACTTTTGCAAGGGAGGACCTTTCGTGTAGCAGGGGGTGCGCTTGTCCTCACCCTGTCCTGTATATCGGGGAGTGCCCCAGGATCTGTTCTTAGCCCACTCCTTTTCTCTGTCTTATTGTCGGATCTCCCTTCCATCCAGGGAGGCATACCCTGGTATATGCAGATGATGTGGCCCTTATGTGCAGTGCCCCCGCCTTTAACTGACAGCACAGGAAACACTTCGGGGTGCCCTGCAATGCATAACACAGGGGCCACCCCCCGGGGTTTGGGGGTTTAGTGACACTAAGTCCAAGCCTTATGCTTTACTAACCTGACTCCCCACCCATCATCTCATTGAACCAACGCCACCCCCTTTGGTCTCTTCCACTTTGGGTTGGGGCACCTTAATGCACCTTTTGACATGAAGAAACACATAGCGACCCTTCCCCTTTCCATTCACTCGCATTGCCTTATGCCCCGGATCTCGGGGCCCCCAAGTGGGGGTGGATCGAACCTTCTCTATAAGTTCTATATAGCTAGGTTTCGAGAAAAACTCACTTTGCGAGTGAGGTGAAAGGCTCGGCTTCTTCCCCTCTCTTCACGTTTAGCATTCTCCAGAATTCAGCCATTGAAATTTTGCGGGGGGCATTCCCCTCCCCCCCTATCGCAGCCTGGAGGAAAACGGGGATGTCCCTTCTTTGTCGGGAGACAGCGAGGAACTTTTTACGACCCATCATATGTACTCGCCCCTTTCCCTCCTTCACAGATTGGAGACAGCCTCTGTCCCCCCACTTTGGTTCAGCCTTCCTTGTAGCCAGGCCCACTTTCCCCGTCCTCCCTTTTACCTTCCTGCACTTGTGATGACTCCCTCCCCTCTCCACTCCCCCCGGTACCCCCCTGGCGGGACCGACATGATACATTCACCTGGATTGGCACTACGGGAAAGGGGAACCCCCCATTTATTGCTTTTCTTTTGAAGGTTTCGCTCTGTTACATACACTCTTCATTCTCCGTTTACCGGGTGGCTCTGCACGGCCTCCCTCCTTTCCCCAACATCCCGCGGGCCCCTTCGCAATCTCTTTCCCTGTCAAACTGGCGGTTAAACCTGCTCATTCGTTCTGGCAGGGGGAGCCTTCACCCTTCACCAGGCCTGGGTTTTTTTTTCCTAGATCACTTCCCCCCAACCATTGTTCTCTTCTCGGGTTCCCAATCTTTCCCCGGCACTTTTGCTCTGCCCGTCCCCGACACGCGGTCCTCGTTTGTCGGACACAAACTCTCCCCTCGCTTCTTTCGAGCCCCGTTGGGCACTCCCTTTAGTGGGGTTTCCCCCCCATGTTGGGAAACTGGGGAATGAATGGCAACGGGCGGCCTCCCCACGCACCACTTCCTACTTTTTACCCCCCCTTGCCCCGGGCCACAGTTATTTTCACAAAGGGGGTTTTGGGAAGGGAACCGTCTCAGTGGCAAGGGGCTTGCACATTCCTCTCTCTTCGGGGTTGGGCTCTGTCCAACTTTTAAGGCCCCTGCCCTTGGCCGCCATCTCAAAA